GCACCAGACAGGAACTCTTGCTAACAATTCTGCTAGGTATTATGGCAAGAAAGCAAATAAGCACCTCTCCTCAACACCTTCCACCCCCCCAGGTACCAGTGAGGAACGGGAGGTCCGGACCTTTATCATTGACGGATTTATGCAGAGACCCATAGCAGGAATCCAACTGCCTGAATCCTGAGTTAGAATATAAAGTGCCAAATAAGTAATCTGCTAATTAATTTTTTTCAATAAATAATCTGTGTAGGAGGTTCATGTAATTGGCCATAACATTTAAGGTTACATTTTTCATCTTACTTCCAAAGAAGTTACCGTATCCACCCCCGTTGTGGGTTCTAAGCACTGCAGATAAAAACAATTACAAATGCTTTGGCCACCGCATACACAGTTCATTGTTCATCTACAGTCAAAGATCAGGAACTAAATATTTACATTGCCTACATTTTCTATGCAAATAATTGTCCAGAATTGCACCCACAATTATTTGCAATCACTTGCCGTAAAATAGAGCCTTCCCTTTATGTGCTTACAGCACATGGAGCTCATGACCCCTAATCAGAACGCAACCAAAGGCCAGGGAGTGCTATCCCTGCAAAGCCGAAAACTCAAGCCGCTAACTGCTGATGAAGTTCAGCTGAGACAGAGGTGAAGTGGTTGCTACTTTGGGGTCTGCCCAATATGTCAGAGGAAGACTTCACTCAAACCATGTTCGCAAGCCTGTCTGAATTAAAAGGAGTGTTTTCAGCAACTCTGGTAGGTTTTGGATCAGCCCTCTGAATAGCGGACCCTTTCCAGGAGTGAGCTTGCAATAACCACTTGCTCTTCAACCCGCCCAGTTACAAGCTTTTCCCGTTAATGAGCATCAGCTCCCTTTGGCAACGTGCACATCTGCTTCCTGCAATGCACACAGCAAGTAATTCTGGAAAAAAATATTTCCAAAGCTATTTGCCTCTCAACAAATTGTACAGACATACGTCAGATCTGCATTTTCATACACGTGTAAATACAGAACACAATTTTTGTCACTTTGTACATCCATGACATTAGTCCAGAAAGTCACCAGCGTCAGATGCCCGAGAACTGCATTTTAAATACGATATGTATTTACTAAATGTTTTCATTTCAAATGCAGGGTACAAATGGGTTTGTATTTCAGTGATTTCAGCTATTTTTTTTCCTAATGCAGCTGTCAGGATAAGCTGTGTAATGCATTAAATACTCAGAATATTCATCCTTTGTATTAATAATAATATCTGTAGAAGCCTTCCCCCCAATACCACATTGAATGTGCCTCTCCGTATAAATACTGCAATATAACTGAGCTCCGTATGAAATGCGTGTGACCCAAGACTGTCAAGCTCTCAGAAAAATCTATTTTGCTTTTCAGTTTCTCTGATTCACAGTCGCTCTGTTTGCAAAGCTGTATGACAAATTTGTGAATATGATGCACCGGGAAAATATAATGCAATTGCTTACATACAAACGACAACTTGGGACATCAGGTAATTAAACATGAATAGAAACTTGACAAGGCATCTCTGTGATTTCCTGGGGAATGTTTGGTACAGAATCACAGTCTGCCAGGCAGAGCTTTCAGCTCCCCAAGCCCAAACACTGAACAACATCGCAAAAGCCCCAGAGACACTAGGAAATTCATAATACTTAAAGTGAAAAATGTTCTACATGCAGAGGTTCAGTTTCGCTCGCGTTAAATGAGTGTGACTGTGTATTGCTGAGGCAAGAACGTGAAGTCTTCTGCCTCTTTTGTGGAGTCCTTTCCCGGGCCGAATTCCCACTGATGTGTGGGGCAAGGGGTGAAATGCAGCCGTTGGAACCCATCGAAGAGATCAGCCTTGGCTGCCGGCTGACAAGTCTGGGAGGTCAGTAAGAGTTTCGCCTGAAAAAAGCCTACAGGACCCCGTGTGTTAAAACAGATGTATGTCATTTAAAAGGAGGGAGCAAATAAATATATGTTAAAAGTACAGCAGACCTTGTTCTTTGGGCTCAATTTTTCTAGTCTTTCTCATGCAGAGGGAGTTTCCAGGGGGTTTCTTGAGAAGTAAAATGTTATTGTCCATCACTAAGGCTGGGGGACCAAGTCCTTCACTCACCTACTAGCTATGGAACGATTTGCAGGCTGCGGACAGGTGAACCTTGAACGTTGCTGATGCTTGTAATGTGTAGCTGATATTTGTTGGAAACAGCAGAATTCCCTATCGCTCACACAAAATCTGTTGTTACTGTGCTTCAGAGCACATTCCCTCTGGTCCTGTTGTGTAATCGGAAAGCCGAAGTAAAACATTCGCGTTTGATTCCCTGCTGCTGTACTCCTCTTTTAGGCGCTGCTGACTTTGGTAATACAGACATAAAACCGGAATATTACAGAACAGTCACTTCTCTTCTCTGGGGGAAATCTGCTGTCTGCCTTCTTAAGACCCAGCTTTTGTAATGAGCTTTGCCCAAAGGAGATGAAGAAAATAGCATTTACCCTGAAGTCCAAAGACAGAGCCTATTTCACCATAGTCCTTCTGGCACATAAATTACAACTGTGGCTTCCCCATTTTCCACCATTCCAGATACCCCTTTGCTAGATCCGTACAAATGAACCAATGTTCCCTCCTGTCCCCTGCTCATCTATTTACGCCCACAGCAGTACACATCGCAAGAGACTGTAAAGATCTAAGAACATCAGAGCCTTTTGGTGAGACTTTACTGTCACAAACCGTCACCCCAGACTCACTGCGCTTCAGCGAACGGACAGTAAGTCAGTAAGTAAGTAAGTCAGTAGTAAGTCAGTGCTACGTGCAGCAAGAACTCAATTCATAAATTACGCCTTGCACCTGGTTGGAACAAGTATTTTGCCAAAAAGAATGTTGCAAAAACTGCAAAAGATCACATTTTCACATCCTTATTTGACATGAATTTTCTCTGAATACATTCTAAATTAGCAAAGTAGTAAACTTGTGACAGATGAAGCAATTAATATACATGTGAACGTATTCTCTGGTAAGCAAATCTGACTACTACAGGAATAGACTGGTCTATATGTTAGAACTTTCCAAAGCAAAATTCTGTTTACCCATATTATTATGGGGAAGGGGGGGGAATCTCTTCTGTGTCTTCTTTTAGTGAGCAGGTTTCTGAAAATGACCTTTTGAATAAATACTTTTTAGCTTTTCTGCACTTTTAAACTCTCTGGACAATGTATTTTGATAAATGAATTCCATTTTATTAATAGCAATTTGCTCCATTTTTAAATAGCGAATATGTTAAAATTACATTTATCAGGTGATCGTTCAGGTTGAACAAAACTTTAAAGTAAGACTGGTATTGACAGCACAACAGTCATATGTTATGAAGATGAAAGCATAAATATTGAAAGAGTGAAAAAAGATAAAAAATAGTTTCCAGCACCAGCATTGAAAATAACCCGATGTACATAACATTGTTCCTCAACGCATTTGTTGAAGTAAATGAGATACCAACAGAGGCAATGGTTTATAGCCTATGCGCCGGATCCCGTGAATATTTCAGCAGAATCGTGTGCGGAAGGCCCAGCCTGGAACCTAAGAAAACACAGCCAGGGTACAGCTGTTCTTAACAGAATCATGACAAGCTATTTCCATCATTTTTAGTAAGACTGCTAACACTTTATTTGTTTCGCTTTTTAAAGAAAACTGTGGAAGGATGAATAGTAACTCTAAATCTATCTCTAATTCTATCTTTAACTGTACAGTCATGGCCATACTGCACTGCGCACTATTTGTAATATGAAATGAAAAGCATAATAATGGGATAATAGAAAAATGTAATACAAAATAAATAGGACAGGATCAAGGGCGGCATACTGTTCGTAAGGCAATACAGGTAATAAAGCGGTTGTTCGCTTTTGGGGCCTACAATATTTCCCACTCTACCTCATTCACCTCTGCAAGCATTCCCGCAGTTTCCGCTCCACATCTTGAATTTGAAAAGGTCTGATTCAGCTACTCTCAGCACCAAATACGAGCTACAAAAGTCTCCTCGACATGGAATCCAAAACCAGATGCAGAACTCGAAAAAATATGTCCAAAACCTCTGTCTTTGAATGGGAACATGCTAAACAGAGATCGTGGTTTTTCCTCAACTTTGTCGTAAGCGTAACAAACGAAGGGCCGGGAAGTCAGTGTATCTGAGACACCTCTGATACGTTTTGAAGTTTCCATTGCACGGGAAAGAAAGTTTTCAAAACCTGTGCTTTCCCAACGAGTAACAGTCGAGCCTTTTATAGCTTTTCTCCTGGCATGGGATTTGATTAGCAAGTACAAAGATTTAGACAGAGATTTATTAAGTAATAGTTATATTGTGTTGCAATTAAAACGTAGGAAATTCGCCGTCTACTTAAGCGTTTAAAAATGCTTAATGTAGGAAGCAATTACACCTCATTTTCAAATTATTCCCCTGCCTACAGAGCACGCTGCGGACAGGGTAAAACGCGGCTTTACGGGCGGCGGCGGGACGTGCCCGCTCGCACGGCCCGGGGCTGCACGGCCCGGCCCGGCC